GTCGTGCAAATTGCCTTTTCCTTTGGGATCGACACTTTAGTTCGTTGGCCGATGCCTATCCTATAAGTAGCCATTAGATAGACTTGTCCAATTTTAAAAGCTCATTGCGAACCAGGCTTGGTCATGCCGCTTAGTGAGGTTCACTTCCTGCTGCAAGACGCCCATCATTTAAAACATGAAGAATTCCGTTTCCAGCGTTGTGCTTGTCTATCCCATACATCAACATACTAGAGCACAGCCCATGGACTGGTGCTAGCAACCGCATATATTATTTTGAAATGCTCGATCAGCACTGTGTAGCTAAGGCAATTTCTCTTACCTATCCAAATTTTGCTGGCGACTTATTCCTCTCGCGTTTGATAATTAACTTGACCGCTCCCTATGGGCTGACTCAGGAATTCGCATATACTAGGTCTTCTAGAGGTTATGAGGTGTCCTATAACCAGATGACGCCTAGTAAATTCCCTTATCTCGCGCAGTGCGGCGGAGGCCAGCCTACAGCTATCTTAAGCTATCTTAAATCGCGAGCGTTATCAGCATGGCGTAAGTTAAGGAGCATTTCAGCACGTCGCTCAAAATCCCGATGTAAGTATCGATATCTAGGTTGCGTGGAACTGGTGACAGGGTTCTCACTTTAGGGCCGAATTTAGTTAGATCTAATATTTTAGACAGGGTGGAGTTGTTTCTTGCTATAGAAACAGTTCGGCTCCGACAGGTATATGGCATCCTAGATTGCTCCCCTCGTTTAGGGGATTGTTTCTGTGAATGTACCGAGCTATCTCCGTTAGCAACTTCGACAAGAATAAGTCGATTACCGGTTTATCCGTCAACGATGCTCAAACGTGAGTGTATTAATAATGAAGGGTAGGCGTCACCTAAGACTTTGAGCAGTTCAACTAATATACGTGCAAAGAGCGCTTGGTTTGGTGATGCTCGAGTTCAAGTCACAGCAACTACTGAAACAGCAGCCGGCGATTAAGGAATACGCAAAGCACGAATGATTTTATCGCCCAATATTCTTGTGTTTTCGCTGTTCGGACTAAATTGGCTGTTCCTAAGTGCTAACATATCATTCTGGGAAAATGCGCTACTAATCTAATTTTTGAGAATGAGGCACTGATACCTTGCCATTACCACAGCTTAGGGCAGGTAAGTGGACACTACATAAAGCAAGGCGAAAATGTTGGCGCCCAGGCTTAAGTTACCACGATGACGTCGATGTCTGTAAATGTAGAGATAGCAGCAGCAGCGGTAAGAGTTGAGTTGCCTCCTTTACATAGAACTGCCTTTCAAAGCACAAGAGTTGCTTCAACGTCCTCGGTTTCGGCCTTTCGTCCGAGATCGCCTGCGATTATCCTGGCCGCATAGTTTGTATGCACAAAACACCTTTTGGGCCAGCATATCTGCCAGTGTTTATATAAAAGAAGTTTCTAGGCTCGAAGAATGTTGAAGGTGGGCACCATTCCTATTTCAATGACGTTTTGTTGAGGTGATTCGGTCTAAAGTAACAATCCTGACACCGTATGAAGTACTGACGTTGATCGGACGAACTCTTCGCAAAGTTCGCACGCGTTAACCGTGACACGTCAGTCTGGCGTTAACACGTACATAATTCTCTACTACTTAGGATTTTTTGATAGAACATGTATCGATTCGCGACTTGAAAATTTTTTGATCTTCAAAGTTCTGACCTTTAATAAAGACGTTATTCATTTTGTCAAGATATAGGCGACTATGTGTGTATCGATGATAGCACGTAAAGGGTTTCATTCTTTTAAGTCTCTTTTAACGACATATTGTCATTGCCTAATTTTCCATTTGTTGAAAAAAGAGGTAAGGATAATAGGTAATGTTTAGAACCAGGCCGAGTGACTTTTAGCTTAGCACCGAGAGCTTGGACCACCAAGCCATAAGGGTCTTTTTCGGACTCTATGCACTAATAGTAGCCGGTCTGCTGGAAGAATATTATAAACCCATAAGTACTACCAACATACTTCTCAGTTTCCTCAGTTACGTTGTTCACGTTTATCTTTTCGTTAATGGAACTATTCGTTGATGCCCTATCCTTGTGGCACGCGACATATTATTTGAGGTGCACCGTGTCGGTAAAACAAGCGGTCCGGTTTCGTTCGTATATATTGAATCGGCAGAATGATACGGCGCCCCGAGATAGTATTTTAGTAAAGTTTGCTTAATACGGATCCCTTAAAAACATGCTGCATCTAATTAGAACTATTCTATAAGAACCTCGGTTAGCATAGGCGATGAGATGACCCTACTCAAATCGTTAATTTAACTAGCTGGCGTAACACCGGGTGGTAATTTTTTTGTTTGCTTCTGAATCATCATCCCATCCGTATTTAAGGTCCAGCGAAATACGTAAACCGCTATTTTGTACGACGATCTTATCGTCCTTGGAAGGAGTCGATTTCATGTCTGCAAGCTTTCGAAAGTCTCTGATCGTAAGTGGGCGAAATGGAACCGGTAACCAATATGGATAAGAAGGGAACCAAGAAGTTCTGCTACGGAGGTAGCCTCGTTTGTACCGACACGTTTTATATAAGTAGAACAGCCTTGATATACCAAGGTTGTGGTTAGACCACTTTCAGTACCTTGACATGATTTTACCTTCAAACGGTCGAGCCTTTGCAAAGTACATCATCATAGCACAACAAGCGACAAGCGACTAGTGTGGGCATACGAAATACCTTTCGATCTTCTCCATGGACCCTGTTCGCAAATGGCCCCAATAGTTCCCTATAAAACCCAGACAACGTAGAAACACCTCTCATCGGCGCAACTCAAAACTCAACCAAATTAAACTTCCGCTTTTAAAACACGCTATGAAATCGCATCGGTCATCATTTAAGACATATATGTACCCTCTAGGTGACACACCGCTACTTGTAGACGATCCGAGATGCAGATTCAAACGTCTGCTTATTTAGAGCCCATCAGTATGCAAGGAAAACAATGGTAAAGGTTGATCTTGATTTTACACACATCTCCTTATTACGTAAATGGACTAGAATATACAGCAGTCTCCAGTTCTGAATTTATAACGCAAACGAATCAGGTCTGAGAAGGAGTGGACAGAACTAAGTGACACTAAGTTGCGCGTTTTGCAACGCAGGAGACTCACCATATTCTATGTGCTAGACTAAATTTTCATTTACCATTTATGCACCTGCCTGTGTGCAAAAACCCCAGAATATGCCTCTATGCGCCATGCATAGCCGTACATTCGCTTAGTAGTGTTCAAGCAAAGAAAAAAATAAAATGTTAATTTTAAAAATTGTAATTTCATATATGAAATCGCATCGTTATATACATATAACAAATACCCGTTTTTGGACTGAGCTATACCGTGGGGTAATACATTCAAATACAGATAACCTCTACCCAGTTGTATATCGTAGTAGGCATCTGTCCCTCGACTACTTTTCGCACTATAAGAAAGTCCCTTTTTTTTAGAAGCAACAACAAATTCATCATGGCGAAAAATGCTGTGTCTCTTTTAGCAATTTTTGCGAATATCAGCTATTATGGAATGTTTTCATGTGAAACGAACCCTCATTAAGACAAAAGCAAATGCCTTCTATCCTGAAATCAACTTAATCGTTTTACGTTATTGTCAATTTTCATATGGTTCTTGAAAAATCCGAGGAAGATTTCTATGAGCCACATTTGAAGGTCCTCAACAAAGTTTAGATTTCAAGCGCTCAACAATTCAATCCCCGATAAACTTAGGCTTTAAAAAAAATTATATGCGTTCGAAGAACAGAATCTTAATGCTTAATCGGGCCGTTCAGGTGAGCCTCAAGGGTTATTGTATTTTAGTATTTTTAAAGATTTTTTAACTTTTAGGCTTTTTCACCGTTTTGAACCCTTACATTTTAGGGATCTTTGGCCTGCTATCAACCTAAAATTTAATTCTGATTAAATTTTCAGTACGTCGCATATTTCAGCGACGCTTTGACATGCCTATATTTACCAATATTCCTTGATACATGATTACTATTAAAAACTTATATTGGGATTAATAAAGAAATATTTTGAAGATGACCATTCAGTAGTCTAAATCTCAGATTGAAGCAATTCGTTGAAATATCTGTTCTTGTTTAAATACAATTTGGGAAACAACAAAAGCTACGGAATCTCATGATACCCTGTCCTCGATCTATGTCATACACGAAACATGGCCATTACACCTTTTTCATGGAATTTGCTCTTTTATATTTACAAACGCACTATTCAACTGGCCGGAAGAATGGTGGAACGGAATGGAAACGGAATATGACCTCCGTTGATGTGACCTCAAAGGATAAGGGTTCCATTTCATATTGCATTCAAACCTCCTTATTACGTAAGTGGACTAGAATATACAGCAGACTTCAATTCCGAACACAGTCAAATTTTTAATTGCTTCCCCTTCCGTATATTTTAACAATATAATAGGAATCTCAACTAATTCGTAAAAAAACGTGGGAGATAATGTGAAATGCAACCTTGTATTTGTAACTAAAAGAAAATGATAGATTTGCTCTTTTAAAATATAAAGAAGGTATTCAACTTGTTCATGTTCAGTTAAATACAGCTAAATCTTTTCATCTCACATTAAGTATACTGGGAATGCATGATAAATTTCAAGCGCCGCCCATGATGGTGCGCGCAGTGGTTCTCGGAATAATAAAAATTTAAATTTTGTTTAAATTATTTTGATAAAGGTAAGTCGAAACTCGTTTCGCTAAGCTAAACTTTTAAAAACACTGATACCTGTCCAGTGATTTATCAAATTTTTATTTATATATTGCATGAAATTAACGAAGGCAGACGGAACAAACTTCAAACCCAAGGTAGAACGAACTAATAACCGCTACACTTCGCTGTATTTTTCAAATCCCTGCCTTGTTTTAGTTTACCCAGGCTTCCGCTATTTTATTCCACATATATGCTTTCATGGTGTAGCCTACTAAAATAGCTCGTGTACTGCTTTACAGGTATCGTATCGGAACAGTGTGCTTCTACTCAAGCAGCCTTTCAAGCTTTCAACGGACAGTCTGCTTTCCGACACCGAAGAGAACACGTTTACAGGCTCTCTACGTTCAGTGCCATTTATCTGAAACGTACTCAAGCAAGCCTTTGTTACAGCGTTGCGCTTTTGGAAAAGGATTTTAGTCTAACACTCTTCAGGTTCTACCCAAGCGACGTAAACTTAAGAAATTTTTGAATTTTCGAATGACAGTGTTCCGCAAGGAGTTGATCGCTAGTAGACGGAATCATTTAGTTTAACACACTACAGAACGTATTTTATGGACAACAAGAAAATTAAAGTCGTGTCATGGAGAGACCGTAATAAAAAATGTAAACGTGCTACGTCCCTTAAAAGCATCTGACATCACGACAAAATGTACGTCGGGGTAGATGTAAGTAATGCTCAGCAAAAGTACATATTTCAAGGCCTCCGCGTGCAGATGCGTATGTAACCGTAAGTAAAGGACCGCCCAAAATATAGCAGGTGCGCCGCTACCTATTAGGTTTTTATTGTGGGCTATCATAGCAGACTTACCAACAGAAGGCCACACTGTTGTCGTGCTCCTGGTCCATGGTGGTGTCCCACGCTCATCACTTAGTGCGGCCTCCTCCGCCACGCAGTCTCTTGTATGGAAAACGCTACTTATGCCAACAATGTCGCATGGTCAAATCGTAATGGTTGGTTCCTTTCAACATATATTTGATGCGTGTTACTTTAATTATTTTGCCTAGAGAAATCCAATATATCTAAATAACCATAAAGCTGAAATGGTTAAGAAAGTTTCGATATGGTTAAGTTTCTGTTGTTCTATTGTTCAAAAAACAGTTTGGGGTTAGAAAAGTGCTACCTTTCGTAGCTTTTCAAGTAGACTTACTACACACAAGTTCTTTTCCGCATTAGATACGAAAAGGTCCCTTCAGTATCCCTACCAACTTTAAGCTACGTCTTTGGCAGCTACACTTTTGGCATCGAAAAGGTACACTGCACTATTAAATGCGCAAACCAGGTCACGTAGATATGGTATAAACGATCATCCGAAACAATCTTTAGATCTCTTATCAACAAACAGCCTTACTTTGTGTTTCGACTATGGCAGGCGCCAACTAATTGAAGAGACAGCATCCTGTCAAGATCCCGAAAGGGAGAGAAGACTTTTTGAAGTCAACCCAATGTCTAAGGGTTTCCGAAAAAGTGTTGCATTTATAAGCTTTGTTATCGCTCCTGATACGTCGGCCGAAATTTTCATTGGGTCTCTAAGTTTCTTGCTAGAGGGGTGACAAGAATTTCGACACAGAGGTCAACTAATTTACGTATGAGGCTTTACTAACAAAAATCAAATCTGTTGTGGCTCAGCGGAGAGCATTGGTTTTCGAAGAATTCATTAGTTTAAAGGTTGCCCTTGATTTAGCCTTTCCTAACGAAGTCTTACGAAAATTGGCAAAGATTGATATTCCTGGATGACTACTGACACAATCGTTGTACTATGTCCATAGTGTAGCCTCGTTGTTTGGAGATTGTAATGACCTAAATTATTATTATATTAATATATTTATGTAAAATTGTGCACAAAAATAAAGCACTTTTATATTTATATATATCAGTGACAACAACTAGGCTTTCTATTTATTATTTACAGCCGAGAAATATATTGTCATTAAATATAGAATCTCGTTCAAAAAGGTAATTAAAGCCCTTTTTCGTTCTTTGTAGTTATACGGAAATTATTTATCTAAGTCAAAAAGCTTATATCAATAAACTTGAAATGTTTTCAAGATCCTTCAAAAGGAAGACAGTATCTGCCTCAAAGCTACCTATATCTATAAAAAGTGCTGATGGCACTATTTAGCTGCGCAAAAACCCGTGTTCTGAGTGCATATATGACTAAAAGTAAGGCAGTAGGCTTTAGGAAAGGTGGTCAACTTTACGTCAGAATTAACCAACGGAGTCCAAGGTGAGCCTATTAGGTTTGTCTATTTTCCGTATTTGGAACTTCAGCTGATGCCACGCGGACTTACCTTTTCGAAATATATACATGAGCGAATTAGATAGCCTAGATCAACCAGAAAACCTTCAAACGGGCTATTTTAAAAGATTCCTGAGGCCATGTAGGACTAAGTTCGTCTGCTTATCCAGTAAAAGCCCGCTCGTCAATTAGAAACTCAGATTCGGCTTGGAAAAGGAATGCGTATAAAGCTAGGCAAAAAGGCGACATTAAAGAAAATCTCAAAAGCTTAGTCTGGGCTTTTGTCAAACGCAAACGGTGATTAATGGCTTTTAGTCGCATACCTAGCGAGCCAACTAATGCTGAGTTTTTTTATGCGCAACGCAGGGAATTTCTCTACACGATTTGTACGATGGCCGGTCTCGACCAACCACCTCGATTTCCTTTGTGAAGATATATGAGCATACAAGTAGTAGCACTGCCAGAACCCTACGCTACTTGAAACCATTTTTTGGTGTTTTTGCTATATTTGGTTCGACTTGAATAATAAACGGATGTTAATTATAAAGGAAATATGACAGACCAGATGAACTACAGTTATACAATAGCTGGCTGCTGGAATAAGTGATACATCCTAAGTCTAATATTTTTAATGAGCAATTCGTTACGTTTCTTCACTTTTTTTTTACGTACATAGTATACTTATTTATAACACAACGAAACGGGGATGTAAGGTGGGAAAAAAATTACAGATACTATCATAACTGGATAGTGCTATATTTGACATGCTTTTTGAATATTATCAAAGCAGGTTAGCGTTTAAAATAACGTTAAGTATTTACAGTCTCTCCATCTAACGTTATTATTCCACTTGAGGCATTTAACCTTACCACTCCAATGCAAATACTCCAGTCGATCTTTGTGGCTAGCTGAACCGTGAATACATAGATATAATTTTGTGATGGCGGTAAAACACGCTATCGCCATGATATTCAAAAGGTCTCAAAATGTATTTTGCATGCAAACATGCAAAGGATATCCACTAAGATTTTCTTCTGATATACACATAGAGGACCTTGTTATTGCTAAATGTCGAAATTTGTGTAACATTGACATTTTGCATGACACGTTGCATGGACATCATATAGCAAAATACCTTTAGGAAAAATTATTCATTTCTGTTTTCCTCTTTTATTCTTTCTTATCTCTTTTTTTAATCATTTGCTTCCAAAAACTAGAGAGACTAACGTAGGTGAGCCCTATGCGTTCACACATGTCGTACAACAATGCAACTTCAATAAAACTTTGAACCGATTTTTGATTATATCTGTTAGAAATAGTCAACCCAGCGGTTAGGTTACTTACAAGAAGCATAGAACCTCGGACGAGAATTCAGATTTGACCTTTAATTCATTTGACAGGGAAATCAGTTTCCCATTTGGCTGGATAGCGCCTGCCGGCACATCGTTACTCGACGTGCAGGATCATAGCCACCTTTTCACCATTATGCTACGGTTTTCTCTGTGTCCCGGCTGCTGCTATTGCTGAACACACAGGCGCACCCTCTCCAGTTCAAACTGTCCCTTGCATTATTTGAGAGCCCAGTTGCGGCTGGCCTTTTAAATAGTTTCATGTACCGTACTTACATCATAGCATATCGACTCTGGTTCGATAAGACTCGGAGCCAAAATACTACGATCTGTAAAATACTGCGTAACGAAACAAGCTACTATATAGATAATAGATAAGATTTTGTTGTTGCCTATGTGGATGATCAATTACGGATCAGGATATTTCAAAACTGGTAGAAAATATTTTAAGACATAATAGAGTTTAATAGAACAAAAGTGTTTTTCCATGGAATCGTGGGCTGTTAAGCCACTGCTTTGTAGCCATACGCGAGCAGAATAAGACATTTTCTTGATTACATAGATTGCCAAACTTAAGACCATGTTTCGCTCTTAGCTCGGCTGGTGGTTAATACATATCATATCGGTCACTTGCAGCAGGTCAAGTAAGTATACATTTCACGGATTATCGCAACCCTAAAAGAGATGAGAAAGGAATCTCGTACATTTAACTTCTGCAGTTTTAAAAAAGAAATGGATATTGGTCAAAAGAACAAAGTCTCTTCAACTAGCTATCTTACTACACTCAACAACTACGGTTTAGGCTTCTAAATATACAGTTCTATTTCCTAAAGCTCTTCATTTATACAGTAATTCCAGAACTCTTCGTCTAAAAGGCATACAGAGAGAACGAAACGTATAACACACAATATTAATAATAATAATGGTGAGGAAATAGAAACGACGATGGACCGCTGGCGTATGTGTATCCTCCCCAACGACGTGCCAGATCGATAATTGTCCAAAGCTAATTGAACACGTCGTCGCTCCCACGTAGTCGCGTTCCACGGTTTTCGAAATCATGTTCAAAAGGACTCTAAAACTGAAAGTCGCGAGCCACATATTGCTCTACAGTCGTGTACCGATGAACCCAAAACTAAGCGGGAAGAGGGTATCATTTTTGGGTTCGATTGTAGTTGTCTATGAACTTATTGGGGCTTCTTTCATCAAAACCCTTATCCAGCCAATACAGCAGACGTTTAACGAAACATATCAACGCTTTCGCCAGACGACATATACCCGTCGATTCCTGAAAAACAGGTATTAATTGAAAAGCAGTTTAGTAAACTGGAAAATAGTTTCTCTGAGTGTTCCAGGTTGGGCTTAGTCAAAGTAAAGCAAAGCCAAAAACCACGATTTTCCAGCACATAATTACTTATCAGGCTTGGAAGACTTACAAGGCGCTTTTAGCTATTGGTTTAGGTCAAAGGCACCTTGCAGCGACCAAAGAATACGCCAAGGTAGTATTTTAGTCAAGCTTTAAACCACACCCGTATATTGGAGTATATATACCCGTATATATGACGATTTTCTAATGGTCACTCAACGATCTATTGAAGTCAAATTCTGTGTATTGTATCTTTTAACTTCCTCACACCATATATGATACGCCAGCTATAGACTCGAATAGCTGGTGTATCCACGCTTATGCTGATGCTATGATTTCGATGTTGAATATGTACATTTACGAGCCTGTGGACAGATGAGTGAATGGGTTTTCGCAACCCTTCAAGATTTATATCTGTTTAATCTTTTAGTTTTCTATTCTACTAAGCCACATGTCTTTGCTCAATTTTCATGAGCCTCGTTAAGTTTTCAAAATTTTAAAAAGCCTAGGTCGCTGGAAACGCGGTAGAGTGTTCAGATGATCTGACAGATTTAGGGTTACGTGTCAAATATTGGTGCCTTTCGCCTGCATTTTAAGAAAATGCTTAGAAACGTTGGGCGTGTTTGTCGGTCTGCGTAGTTTACTTGCCATAGACCCTACTATATCAATGCTAAGCAGGGTTTCGATTTACTCTTTATATAAAATATAGCAGACTTACGAGGGTCGATCAACAGGTGCTCTTACTTCACTTGGGGCTCCCCTTGTCCGTAGATTCATATTGTATAACCTTTTGGTCAATTCGGAACAATGTCTCCATAAATTTTGCGGTTCTGTTAAAAAATGTTATCTGGTCGACATTACGCCTAGGATGCCTCTGGTAAATTAAATCACTAAGAGTGATATGAATAGACTGGTACCCAAAAGATGTTTAAGAAAAAAAGGGGAGTCGAAAGATCTCCAACATTAAATTTTTTTAATCACGTCTTGAATCATCTTCACGTAACACGACAAAAGCGTATCATGAAGGTCTTCAAACAACAAGAGATATGACTTGAGAGGAAATTTGGATATATTTGGCAATGACAGGATTATAAAGCGTTAGATTTACGCACGATCGGGTTTTGGTTGAACAGTTACCCCAAAAGTGTGGTTTTGACCGGCCCCTTATTAGCCTACGGTGTTTCTGTAACGATGATTTTTTTGGTGCGTACACATGTGCCGTCAGAGACGATGCCTAAGCTTCTGTGTTCTCAACAAGCCCGTTATAGTACTATCAGTTAGAAAATAGTCAGGTTTGTGTAATCGTTTCGTAAAAGACGTATAGTTTTCCATTATGCTTAACATGACTTGCTTAGGTGTGATTTTTTTTATCTAATATATCTGTACATGTATGAAATCATTGAGCTGATAATGAAACTCAAAAGTTTAATAGCGAACCAGCTAAAGATAATTATCTTAGCTAAACGGGTAACACGTTGTAGGATCTATCTCAAGGTGGGCTGGTTTGTTCTTCTGAGCACTTTTATCTATTTTCTAGCACCTTATTATAAATAGATACTCCTCTTCGTTTTCATACTTCTATTAGGAACACTGCATTGTGAATGTCAAATACGCGACATATATGTTATATTTGACAATTTCTGTGTGAAATATTAAATTCCTTACCTATAACGATTATAAAGCATATCTGAGGGAATCAGCCTATATAGGAACTTTATATGGACAGATATATTGATCAGAAACTCCGCACCAATTTTGATGCAAGCAAATGACTGAACTATTAATATAACAGTCTAATTCTAATCAAAATTGAATACCAGGGTAAGGTTCTTACCAATCGATTTATGCGATACGAGTGACAAAATACTGCAAGATCTATTGTGGTTTGTATTTCGTTATATTGTGGTTTGTACTTCGTTAATAGATTTATATCTTTTCAGTTACGTGAATATTGTGAATTTTCCTACGTGTAACATATTTCATTATATCCTACAGTACCGCAACCCATTATTACCCGTCGCGTGTAAATTAGCGCTGAGAGGTTTTATATTTTAATTGCCTCTGGGTGTTGGTAGAGTATACGTATGCTGCGCTTCAAACTATTGTGTGCGATAGTATCGGAATCGCAGTAAACGCTGTCACAAGCCTGTGAGGTAGTTTTTTGTATTTCAAAACGAAGTTCGGTTTTTCCCAGCAATGCCTTTTTCAGTAAAAAGTTTTATATGGGGCCAACCGTAAAAATAATAAACACCGATTTCCCTGAACTCGGTATACGTATATATGAATACATACAAATTCTCTATATAGAGAATTATATATATATATATATATATATATATATATATATATATATAAATTTCATATATACAGATTTCGTAGATATATATATATAATCTCCACCGCTAATTTTAACACGCAGATGGTAATATGCGCATCGTATAAGCTAAAACGAACAAAGCTGTTTATATGTGTGTATGGGATAATTTCTAATAATAAAACTCATTATATTCTGCATGAATCTGCAGTGCCGTTTATCTGTACTGATAATCTTTATAACTTAAAATATTAGTGACAATCCCGTTTTGTAATACTCTAGCACCAACGATAAAATTAGCTAAATATATGCACCCCTTTAATATAGATACATTCGTCACTGTTAATCGTAAGTTTCATTTTCTCTGCAGATAACTTGAGTTCAGCGACTGGTTCGAGCGGTGGTCGCGGAGGCAGTGGCGAGGCAGTCGGAAGGGCAGATGTGGACGGCGGCCTCGGTGGCTTGCAGGGGGTCCTGGACCCCATGGCCTACAATTTTGAAAGCGACGAATTCAGTAGCTTTAACAACACGTCGTCCACTATTTCTCCCTCAGCTTCAGGAGAACGCATCGTATCTGACGACTGGTCCGCTTGGTATGAATAATATTTGCTAATTTTCTTATTCCTTTTGTCACATACAATTCGATTTTCTTATTCCTTCTGTCACATACAATTCGTGACCAGGCTGAGTACTCCTATATTGAACAATTCGACTATACAAAAAAGGCACGATTCTGTGGAGCAATGCATGTGCGATTTTTTGAGACCCTATATTCAGAAATTAGAGGTTAAGATCTGGATGTACGTATCTACCCTATATTATTTAGGACTATGTCGAGAGATCATCGAAGTATTTCGAACAAAACAAAGAAGAAGGGCAAACTTACTAAACGCATAGGAAGAAAACGAAATCTCTACTTACTCCTAACTAAAAAGATGTATTTGTTAATTTTCCTTAATCCATCACCCGTCAATTGCTGAGGTTGACTGTTTTGTCTCGACTGATTGCAGGTATATACATAACGTGCATGGCTGGCTGTCATTGGCCGTATGTGTGTTCGGCATCTTGGCCAACATCCTCAACGTTGTGGTACTATCGCGAAAAAACATGATATCGCCTACAAATGCGATTTTAATTGGGTTAGCTGTGGCCGACATGCTTGTCATGTGCTTCTACCTGCCGTACGCAATACTCGAGTTCGTGCAGCAGAAGGACAATGACTGCATCTTGGACGATGTTCCGGTGGCATGCCGCTCGTATGCCGCCATTGTGTACACGTTAGTTTGTTCCAACGCCACCGTCGTTTTTCACACTGTCTCAACGTGGCTGACTGTGGCACTGGCCGTATGGCGATGGATGGCCGTAACATTTCCTGGTCAGACGCGTAATGTGTGTTCGATGCATCGTGCGCAAATCACCATCGGTAGCACGTACGTGGGCACAGCCATCGCTTGTATACCCAACTATATAACATTCACGGTTCATGAAGTAATCGCTAAGAGCCGCATTGATGGCCAGCCGGTCGTATCATATAAAGTAGACTTCACTGTAGTTAGCCATTTTGAGTCTATTCGAAAATTTAATTTCTGGATGTACAGCGTGCTCATGAAACTGGTACCTTGCGTGGCGCTCACCATGCTGTCGATGGCGCTGGTGCGTGCCCTTTGTGAAGCCGATGAACGGCGTCGTCGGCTTAAGGCCCGACCTAACAGTCAGGCGGGCGCTGCCAGTGGCGCCAGGTCAATGGAACCTCCCTCTGCCAATCAGCGCTCCTCAGACCGTACAACGCGCATGCTACTCGCAGTGCTGTTACTCTTCCTCATCACAGAGTTTCCCGCCGGAATTCTGTCGCTGCTGTCCGGTATTTTAGGAGACTCGTTTTTCGAGAGATACTATCTGCGTGTTGGCGACATCCTTGACATCTTGGCGCTCTTCAACAGCTCCGTAAACTTCATTCTTTACTGTTCTATGAGTCGGCAATTTCGTAAAACGTTCGCGCTACTTTTCACACCACGCTGGCTGCAGCACTGGGCCCCAGTTATGGCCACAGAGGCCAACGCGACCATAGCTACGACCTGCGTATAGCTCAAGTTGAAGCAGGGCGGGCCCCGCGCCTCCGCCAGCGCGCAACAAATCAAAGTCGAAACAAAAATCTATAAAGAACAAAGGCTAAATAAATGACAGACATCTTTGCCTAGCAGACATTGCTTGATCCTTCCTGCTCCCAATAATCGAAATTTGATAAAACAGCCACTACTTACTCATTTGAATCGTAAACATATGTATAGTAAACAGTTTTATGCCTCCATATTAATACGAAAAGCGTGTCCGCAATTCGTTTTGGTAATATCATAGCGGTTCGTTTTCATTTTATATGATGATATTTAGTGATATAAATACAATGAATACGTACGCTCGAAAAATCGCAAGGCTTACACGATCTTAGGCGGCAATCATCTTGGCCTACTTCAGACGCTAGGTGTGTACCGAACCTAATGACAAGGGAGTTAGTTCCGTTACTTACATTACTCAAGGTAGTAACGGAAGCTTGTAAGGCGGAACGGTTATAGTGGTAGTCAGGTAATTGCAGTAGTACCATATCGTAGGCAAGGCAACATTGATCCAATACATTTACCAGAGCTCTCATCTTGGATACATCGTTTATATGCCCTCAGCACATCGTTTATGTACGGTAATGACGCGGCAAGAGTACTTTTTAGACTTGTGAGTCATATCCTGTTAATTCGTTATTGTATTGGACGATTATGGATCGTGGCACTAGAACTCTTTAAAACAATAACTTCGGAGCACACATAGATAGAAGTAAAACAACTGACAAAATTGAAACAAACATAAATTTCACCGTCACGCACACTTTCTGTCACCATAAGAGTGTCATCTCAAGAGGTGCAACAACGATTGGCAGCAGTAACTACTACAGCAGCTACATAATTACTGTTACCCGTTGCTAGTCGCTGCCATACCTTACTGCTAAAAGTCGCAGGGTCATATAGGACTATGTATTGCATACTTGACGAGGGATTACAATGTTACAAAGTAATCTGCTTAACAGATCACGACCAACGAAACAGAAACTAATTAAAGGGAATAGCCAGGCAATGAAATGAAGTTGAGAATGATTTTCAACAATAGGCTTAATAAAGAGATTTGTTATATAAATTAGATTATTCGTTATATATAATTAGGTGACTAGAGCACGTTAAAAGAAAGTGTAATTGTTGTCATTTTCAGATATTTTTATCTTAGCTTTTCCTGTTTGAGTGTATGTTTAATTTGAACGAAACACGTAGCGCTTTTTATTCGCGAAATTGTTGGATATAATTTTTGGGTACTGAAGACTTGGAAAATGAAATCTGCACTTCAGGTAGGGATCAGAAGTAAAGTGAACAAAGGTACCGCATTTGATAATTTCGTACCCTTCGTATCGGGAAAATATGATGACTAAGGTACCAAGGCAACGGAATAATTTACGTTAAAATTCGTTTCATTGCTTGTCTGTTTATATTGGGATATGTGTTTAAGCGGGTGTCGCATTAAATACCATTCTAAATGTAGCTGATGATAGTAATAATAACAAACAATGTAGAACAAGTTTTTATGCGCCTGTGCTCCACTGTGTCGAGCAATACGTGCATCAAGGTGCATCAGGAAAGCGGATTTTGTGTTTTCGTGATACGAATTATTGTGGGATACAGGCATTCCCACCTTGTTGCAGTCAACACTTAAGAATCTTTGAGTTTGTTAACCGTATTCCAATCAAACGTATGAGTATGCTTGACCAATTTACTATCAAGTACACATTGTTAAAGTGTGTTAGCATCGTTTGATCGAGTTTTTGATCGCTTAAACAGTTCAATGCGCGAGTAGTGTACACAGTGTAGACGTCTACGGAAGCGTGGTGGATCCGTCGTGTTTGGCCGCCCTGAAAAGGGAAACCGCGGATCCCGGGCGCTCCCGGTGCGCGCATATCCGAAGCATAGAGTAAAAATAAGAAACCAAAAACCAATATAAAATACTAAACCACCTCCGACATCACAGGTTACCATTTTTGCTATTCGAAAAAATAATACCAGTAGCAGTAGTGGCAACAACAGCAGTTATCAAAACGATCACATTCGCAACGAATGGTGTAAGAACCTGGTTATGTAACGCATCACAATTTTCTGACTAATCTTTTTGTTTACTGATAAAGTAAATCGAAGTAATTATCTTAAGCAACGCAAGGTAAAATAATACCGAAAAGTCAAATGTCGACTTGTCAATTCTCAGTATTATCAGAAAAAAGGAGGTAAATTATCGACAGATTGTAGGCCGTTCATTGCGCAAATTCTTCAAAATAATTATGACACTACGTTGCTGTCTGGAAAGTGGGAAGGAACAAAATCTATACAAAATTTTGCATTCAATTGAGAACGAGTTGCCGCAGAATGGCTCCAATGGCAGGCAAGATAGTGTTCTAGCTAATAATTTGCCCGACGATGGATCGTTTCGAAAATGATATAAAAACGTAAATTTACGCACGTTAATTCAATGATATACTGATGATAGGTGTCTCCTCGCTTGGCCGAGACACCTGCGCTGGTGAATCGTCCCTTCTTAGCTCAACAATACGAAATCTGAACAACATCGAGGGTAGAATTCTAATGTAGATATCATTAGGTTCAAAAGCGATGGTAATACACTTAGAAACGTAATACTGACATGATACTCAAGGACAAATATCGTACAAATATTTTGCCCACCTGAGTGTGGTGCATTAGCTTTTACGTTTGTACTTATTGTATATTAGGAAATCAATGTTTTTGTATATTCTCTTAGTTTTTTTTTTTTTCGTTTTAGTTTCTTTGCTAGTACATACAAAGTACAAAAGTAAGCGTAAACAGAGGGCAAATGACTGCTGGTCATTAAAATGAAAAATGGCTACGTAACTCACCCGTATCAAGTTAAAGATATTTTTCCATTATCAATTCGGACACTTTTTTATATCCGTCACATAAAGAATCACAGTAGATTTTCCAGTGCATAATTCACTGCTTAGCCCAAAACTAGCTCCCAATCCCTAGTTAAGCAAATAATATGTTTAAATTTCCTAGAGAACATGTAACTACGATATTGGACCACGCAGAGGTTTTTACTACCGGCTAATGACGATCAGAAATAACAATTAGTGTTTTTTACTCGGAGACTATATCGGCCGAAAGTAAGATTAAAGAAAAAATTGCCAAGCCTTATTGATTAAGAGATTAAAATAGAAAACTATCGTTTGAAAGGGATAAATCGAAGCAAGATTGCCATTATCGGGCTTGGTCGTATGGCACTTGCGAGTAATAACACGATTCCGTTTATTTCGTTGATTATTAAGGTTTTGAAGACGATGGTGTCCATCGATACTAGCATCGCACAACTGAGGCATTTGGTACAGCTATAGAACCTGTAGTATTACCATACAGACATCCCTAAAATATTCTTACAAGATTGATGGCTCGCTGTCGTCTAGATCATATTATAATGAGCTCGCATCATGTTGAATTAGCTTCGAACTGATCTCATTTCAGTCGTTCACATTTTGTACTTTATTTATTGCGCATTGAGTAAATCATAATTGTATTCTATAAAGTGTGTTGAAGCCAAGCAATGCAAAAGAAGTAGGCAGCTTTGAAATCAAACGGGTCTACTGAGCTATGTCAACGTATGCTCATATATATCATTACATCTGTTCTCACATTATGTTTATTGTACAGTATCCAATGGCGACGCGGACAATAAAAAGGCTCCGGCTTCGATCCCTAGCAAAAATCAGCCATTTCATCTGGTTTTTGCGCTCTTAATATTAGCTTACAATACAGCCACGTATAATCGGCCCGAATATCCTCCCACTATCTACCCATAAAATTGAAATTGCGGCCCTGTCCACCTTATTTTTAATTGTGTATTAAGGAAAGCTTCGTGCAAGAAAGTTTCTCTTTTACTAGAATATAATCGGCTGTAACACTGCGGGCTAGCTATCATGTCATAACTGGGTACTGAGCCGTTGACAGGTGAAGGTTTTAATTTCAATCGAATTTTCGTCTTATTTTTAGATTTTTTAAATTCTAAGTTGTCAGCAAACAAAGATAAATATATTAACTTGATAGCCACTGTTTCTTTGCCGATTTCTATAGCTGCAGACTGTTTGAGCTGGAACTATTCTGTGCATAAGTTCATCCAATTAATATCTTTTTATACTATCTATGTGGTGCGTGTGCGCCTGGATGTGTGTATTACTATTACGAAGTTTCATCATAACTATATTATAAGAACGAAGCACACAAGTGATTGCTCACTCTTAGGATAATGTTGCGACAATACAAACACCCCAACAGTACTAGTCATTATTGTGCATGAACTCGCGGCAAGGAGAGAAATAGAGAAACAGGGGACAAATGTTTTGCCAAGTTTTGTGTTGGATTAATTATTTGACGATAACAAAACTCTAAAAGAATATCCGTGATCGATACCGTCAAGCATAGTGCAGTAATGAGTAAATAATAAGCATACGTCATTAATGGTCTATCTGACTACATAGAAGTATGTACGTGTATACCTTTAAACATACGTGACCTAAATATTCCCAATATTCTGCAGACGTTCTTTAGTATGTACATATATGAATTAGATCTTAAAAACACCACTTTCCTAAGTTCGGGTAATCCAAGTAGAGCGATAGTAAGATGTGAAATTACTGTTGACGTTAACATCAACATGTTTATAGGTAAAACTGATGTAGCTATATTTGTTAAAAGAGATAACACTAGAAGACGGCTGGCCGAATTGGTAAAAATCGTAATCATCAACTTTATATACATAATATATATATATATATATATATATATATATATATATATATATACACATATATGTGGGTGTTTGAAATAAATTGGGAGAGCTTTAATTGAATAATTTTTCATTAGCTGTATGGAGATACCCGTCAGTCTTGTTTTTCCAACGAAGCCAGTTCTTTTAGAAGAAAATCCCAAATTCACTATGGTTGACGACGCAACACCAGGGTCATAAACTTTCTTTTATTTCCTTAAATTGGCAAGTTACTTGATTGCAACTTAGTGCACCAGTACTGAAAGTACAGATGCAAAATCCTATATATCAGGACTAGAAGACCACAACTTGAGGTCCATTGTGAATTGAAAGGATATAAAAGTGCATTTTTAGCGATTCCAGTGATATATATAGGCGCCTTGGCAGTTAAATGGGAAGTGACAATGAAAACAGTGAAGACTTGGTTATAAATCTCATTCCATTCAAGTTAGGTAGAAGACGCGATCGGTGCCACTTATTCCTAAGTTCCCTGAGATACGAAGCAACAAGCCGCGCTTGAGTTTTTTGGCCACAAGTATGTAATTT